CGGCCATCGCGGCTTTCTCGCGTTCAAAATTCTCTAACGCTTTCCCACGACTCTAACTTATTCTTCGAGTACATCAGTTCTCTTCTTGTATTCACGGCTGCGAGCAACTGCCTTGTCCCTCTCGTCCAGGATTTTCTTGGTTACTTCGAGAATCTCCTTCTTCTACTTCTCCAAAAGAGCATCCCTCGAAGCAACCCTCTTCTCAGCTTTTCGGGCCCGAGCCTCGAACTCTCTACATTTATCTCTAGATTGCCTGAGAGCTCGGTCGTACTTCTCCACGAGGTATTTCTTCCGAGCCATAGCCTGAAAACAATCAGGAATGGCAGAATGTTAACAAAGCACCGGAATACGAGACCGAAACCAAAGGAAAGATAACTTACCATGATATCGTCACTAGCGTAATCCGTGAACTCGTTCGCATAAATCAATTTCTCGACCGGGGGAAGCTCCCTTGGGCCACCTCGAATATGACGAACGAGTTCCGCACACTTGCTTGACACCGAGCAAAGAGGGGAGACATCGTTATGATGAAAGTCGACCTTGTCCAAAAAACCCTTCGAAGTACGACGGGGAAGCGTCACCCCTTTGTCCACGGCTAGCCTCGCGGTTCTAGGAACAGTGGACGCCACGACCGAAGCATTATCGGTGGGGACTGGAGCCGACTCGGTGTTGTCAGGCACATGTTTGCCATCGGATAGCGGGACCACTCCACAACGGCCACCTTCATCAGAGGATTTAGACCTCTTCCTCTTATTCTTCTTCTTCGTGCTCTTCGCCACCTCCTCACACCCCGTCGGAGTCACCTCCAACTCCATCAGAGTCTCTTCATTTTCTTCCTCGACCACAACATCGGGATAGGTCGGCGAGTCGTAGTCGGCCTTCGGGTCCTCATCAACCCCTGCTGGCCGAAGGAGCGGGCATCGGGGGCCTGAGCATCGACAACAGCATCAGGTTCCGAAGTAGTCGGGACCTGGTCATTCTCCTCGGCGGCGGGTTGCTCTTCCTCGTGGACAGCTTCCTCCTCCTCGACTGTCGACTCATCGGGCGCGCTAGAGCTCGATCTCTTCCTCTTCCTCGTAAGAGGATCGGTCCTTTCTTCTGTGGGCGTCTCGTGGTCATCGTCTTGAGCAACAACGCTCGTGGCCGCTTCCTGAGGAGCGCTTCCTGCATCACCCCGAGCATCGGTATGAGTCTGAGAGGGGACCACTCCCTTGATCTCATCTTCTATAATATCGCAAAGGTTCGGGATGTCCTTCATTTTCTTCTTTATCTTCTTCTTCGGAGGGGAGGAAGTCTCTTTGGGAAAGATTGGTAGCCTGTTGCGACCTCGAACTTCAGCGCGAAGGTTCGATCTCCAATCAGCTGAATAGAACCAAAGATGAGTCAGGACGGTCAATATCGAAATGGAGGACGTACCATATGAATCAGTAAGAGAAGAGCGAGTAAAGTACCTCAAGCTATGCGAGGCAGTAGCCGGTCTATCCACGAGAACGAAATAGAAATCCAGCGAAGAGGAGCAGTACGAACGAGTTTCTGGGAGACTCCAAGAAAATCCTCGGGGTAATTCCTCGTATTTGAATGCGGCACTACACAGACAAAACGAAAAATAATAACGAGTTAAGTGCGGAACAGATGCAGGTGAATTCGGCGAAGTAATCTACCAAAGTTTGAATTCCAAAGAACACTATAATCTTCGCTTGGGGGTTCCTCGAACGCGCTCTCGTCCGACTTGACGTAGAAATACCAACGCTGCTAGTCGTCAGTCCTGTTCGGAGGACTCAGTAAAATGCCTAAGCCCAATCGCATCTTCACCGAAAAGAGGCCATTCTTTATAATCGACGTTGTAGTAAGCTCCTCGAAAACTTGAACGCTCATCGATAGATCTCTCTCCGCGGCCATGACCATGAGGCCCACCGCTACTTGAAATGAACCGTTGATATACTGAGAAATCGCCGCATCTCGACGAAAAAAATAGGCTGTAATTATTCGGGGAATCGGGAACCAGAGTCGGGTGTCCTTCTGGAAGTATGACTCGTACATGCACTGGTACCCGATTGGAGGAGTCCACGGTCTCTGATTGGCGTTCGGGATGATGAAAGTAATTCCCTGACCACCTCTTTCCCTAAGAATCGTCTTGGCGGTCGCAACGGACGACTTGGTCGGGAGGACGTTATCCCAATCCTGCCTGGGGACTATCGTCGGGCGAGAGAGTTCTGGACGGAGAGCCGGCAGTTTCTCGAACAGCCCTCCGGGGAAGAAGTGAATAGGAATTATGGGCTCGTCGGACGAGGAGAGCACATTACCCGGTGCACTCCTTGCTCGGACGCCGCCTAGGTTCCCCCCCGACTGACATATCTACAGATTGACTGGTGGAAGCGTTCCCAGCGGTCCCCTCGCTCAATCTAAGTCTCTCAGAATCAACCATGACGAGCAACTGTTGCGACAGACTCAATCCCTCGATATCCCGCAAAGCTTCCTTATGCACTAACTAGGATTCGATTACGCGTTGAGTCTCGAGCGTTTGTCTCTCTGGAATGGTTGGATCGGAAGCAACTGACTTACCTTTTTCTGCTGCCGTTAAACGTCTACTCAAAGACATCAACATAATCTAACTAAGAGTTGATAGAGAGAGAAAGGAGCTAGAGAGAAGGAAAACCTGTGAAGGGCGAAGAAATTAAACTGAATAAATAAGAGGAGGGGGAGGTATTTATAGAGAGGGGGGGACGCGCGTTTCAATGCGTAGCCTTTAGTAGATCTACGGAGCCTATTGGGCCTATCTTGTGCCCAGCATGCGTGAGCCGGCCCGTGTCTCTTCCGCTTCCCAAGAAGAACTGAGTTCCCGCGATCTAACCGGTCCGGTCTGAGTAAACCGGTTCCCACTCCCGAGCCGAGTAATTCATTCTCTCGACCATCATAACTTATTTCACCAAGCCCGCACGACGACCATACTGAAATGGGGGGACTTATTGTAGGGGACGGATTCAATCCTATCCTTAAGGCCCATCGAATGAAGTCACGGCCCACCACTCGGCCCGAATAAGCCTAAGAATATTTGTGCCTGCAAGACGACAAGGAAGTCAGAGACGAGTACACGTCATCGTCTGTACCGAGCAGAAGGATTCGGCTCGTCTAAAAGCCCACGGGACAAAGGGCACAGCCCATTAGGGTTTTCCGTACAGAGACCTATAAAAATAGGAGATGCTGAACCTTAGAAAGGATCCAAAAATAGATTGACTAAGCGGCAGCCAAACTATGGTTTTACTCATCTTGTTGCTCTTAGACCGGTCCGTACAACTCAGGTAGCCCCCGAGCACCGTTGTCTCCTTTGTAATCACTCTCTTCGATCAATAAAATCCTTCTTCTTTCTGCTCGTTTGTCCATACCTTCGAAATAACTCACCGACGAGTTTCCGTTGATCATTTACTTGTTGTCACCAAACTCGGTTCAAACATTAGACCCACCCAGACTCTCTGGTAGGCCTAAATATGACCCCATGCCTCATATATTCTAAATTCCGAGTATATCCCTTAGCTCTTTTCTGTTATCTTCCCAATTGTATAGCCAAACTGAATTGAATACTTCTGGAATATTATTAACTGACCTGAGACCGCCTCATATTCCTTAAGTATGGTGAGGATGGTTTGACACTCCTCCGGTTCCGCCTTACAAAAGAAAAAACTATCATCCCCAAAAAGCATATGAGAAATCGCTGGACACTTTCTGGCAACCTTCATCCCCGTTAATCGTTTATGTCGCTCCGCCTCTTTAATGTTGGTAATTAAAGCCTCCGTACACAAAATAAAAAGATAAGGAGACAAAGGATCCCCTTGTCTTAACCCTCTATGCGGGATAATGGAACCCTTAGGTTGTCTATTTATCAGTAGTCGATACTGGACCGACGATACACATACCATCATAAGCTTTGTCCAATGTTGGTCAAAACCCATCTTCTAAAACACAGCTAATAAAATCTCATTCTACCATATCATACGCTTTACTCATGTCTGTTTTTATCGCCATAAACTTTCTCTGGCAGGATTTATTGGCTCTCAGACCATGAAACATCTCATGTGCAATTAGTATATTGTCCGAAATTAACCTCCCTGGAACAAAAGCCGATTGGGTTTCCGAGATGAGCTTGGGCAAACAACTCTTCAGCCGTTGACACAATACTTTTGATATAATATTATACCCTATGTTGCAAAGACTTACGGTCTAAGTTCCTCATCCTTGTTGGTCTCTCTGTCTTCGAAATCATACAAATATGAGTAATATTTAAATGAGCATCCAGTTCTCCTGATTCCAAAAAATTATTCACCATCTCTATCAAATCCTTTTTAATGACATGTCAGGAGTACTAGAAAAAAATCGCCGTCATCCCGTCAGGTCTTGGTGCCTTCTCTGGATGCATCATAAATAAAGCTTGTTTAACCTCCTCCTTCGTGGTCCTCCTTAATAGCCTCTGATTCATTTGAGGTGTAATATGTGAGGGAACTTCCTTTCAATATTTTCATGTTATGTTTCTAAAAAGTTGATTCACCTCTAGTTTTTATTTCCCTTTCAATATTTTCATGTTATTTTTATTTAATTACATCAAAAATTCATTTATATGCATGGTACATATTCAAAATAAATAAATCTATCAAATAATTTAACAAAATAGATGAAATTCAATCTACAAATTGTAATTAAATAATATGTGTTGACAAAAAATGATCTATACTCTAAAAACAATTATCTTGAAATATTTTTATTTTGAAAATAAAAAATGAATTATAAATATAAATCTAACATTTTTTAAGAAAATGAATAAATCTAATATTAATAAAATATTATAGTATTGGCATTATTAACTTATAGATTTTTTTCTGTGCATCTTTTTAGTACTATAGTATCTCTTTGCTTATCTCTCTTTATATATGTATATACAAATGTCTACACTAAATAGGAATCCTCTCAGCGTTTTCTTAATTTTTCTTTTGTAATAATATATGTAATAGTGTACGAGTTTCAAACGAAATCGGAAGTGGAAACTCTAAAGGAGCCAAATTTGCGACAATGGTAGTGGTTTTGACGTCACTATCAATAGGAGTCATTCTCTTCTTTGTCTTTCTGTTTCTAAGAGGAAGGGTTTCGTACATTTTCACAAGAAGTGAAGTTGTTGCCGCACAAGTTGCCGATCTTTCTCCAATCTTAGCCTTTTCCATCCTCTTAAACAGTGTTCAACCTGTTCTCTCTGGTACGCATATTCTCTCTTGATCTTCCTGTCGTCTTTGCCATAAGAAAATTGTTTTAGCGATCATTTTAACTGCTATATATGTTTGTAAGAAGTTGTTTGAGCGATCACTATATATGTGTTGCATATGCATGGACCGTATATCCTAGAACTTTCGCTTACCCAGTTCATATAAAATGGTAAGGGAAAATAGTTAGTTTTTTTTTTGTGTTTGGGGGGGAGGGTGGGAGAGTTAGATCAGATAAATGAGTATTAGACTAATACTTTAGATTTTCGTGTATGTATGAATTTGTATGTTGAATAGTTTGGGGTGATCGGGACAAGTAACTATTCGAATAAGACGATTATACATATTACTAAATCACTTTCATATATAGTGACTTCTTACTATTATTTCCGATACGCGGCCCTAGCGAAACCCTATAGGCTATAACATAGCATTATGCATATATTCAGTAGTGAATATACTACATATAAGACGATTTTATTTGTGTCTAACCCTATACCCGTTGTATTTGTATATTTATATATAGTTAATATCGATAAGAAACTTAAACGAGAGCATATGTTCATGAACCGATTATAATCGGAGCAGGAGTTGCTGTTGGAGGGGGATGGCAAAAATATGTTACGTACGTTAATCTTGCTTGCTATTACCTTGTTGGGATTCCTACCGGTATTTTCCTTGGTTATGTCATGGATTTGCAAGTCAAAGTAAGTCTATTGTTTTCCTAGTTGTTTTTAAATCTATACATTAATAGTTTAATTAACATACAAAATAATTTATTTTCTTTCTTTTGCCAAAATTTTTAGGGTGTTTGGTTAGGAATGATTTTTGGAATCTTCGTTCAGACTTGTGTGCTTACCATAATGACTATGGGAACAGACTGGGATAAACAGGTACATAAATTCAATATATCAAATTTTTATTAGAATTTTTTTTGAAACTTTTCTCAAAATTTCAAATATTTTATGAGGCCAAAAGTCGAATTGTTTATTGAAAACATTTCAGGTGTCTGTTTCGCAACGACGTCTGAACCGTTGGGTTGAACCAGAATCACGAGGTCAAAACCAAACTTCACCAAGAGAATAGTTGTAAAGATTGATGTAAAACATGGTTCTTTGTAATCGACTGTAAAATCCACACTCTATTCTCGAAAGTATACACTTGTGTTGTGTGAGCATCTAAACAAAATTTGAGATATACTATAAAGAATTTTAGACCACTAACAGCAACCACATCAATGAACCCCCTTTTTGGAGTTCATAAAGATTTTTATTATATTTATGATGGGACCATGAATAGTGATGAACTCGAATAAAATGTGTTCTTCCATCAATGAACCCAAAGTTGGGGTTCATAGGAATAAAATAATATATATTTTTTATAAAATTATACAATTTTTTTTTAAAAAATTTTATATTCAATAGAATTAGATTTTTGGACCAAAAAAATAATTAAATAATTTTTTAAGAATTCAAGAACATGGGACATAAAATTTTTATTATTTTTATAAAAGTTTGTATTCAATACATTGATAATTCATGAAGATACAAAGATTATTAATTCTGATTACCAAACTTTTGCCAAACATTTTCAACCAAACCAGCTTTCAAACGAGCATGCGTCTGTAAATCTCGAATTTCATTGCGAACACCATGCATATTACCGGCATTCAAAGTTGTTGTCGTCTGAACCTGGAAACTTCTGCTTGAGTCTTCTGTCTCGAACTCAAATGTATCATACAGAGTGTATGAATGTCGTTCGTCCTCTATCATATTGTGCAGTATGACACAAGTTCTCATAATCCTTCCTATTTTATTTATGTCCCATAGTAGAGCTAGGTTTCTAACGATTGCAAACCTCGATTGCAATATTCCGAAAGCCCGTTCGACATCTTTTCTCGTGGATTCTTAACATTTAGAAAATATATTTGCTTTAGGACCTTGAGGAAGTGAGATGGATTGGATAAACGTTGACTATTTCGGATAAATACCGTCGGTAAGGTAGTACGCCATACTATAGTTGTGGTTGTTGACCTTGAAATTAACTTTAGGAGCTCGACCTTGTAAAATGTCATCAAACACTGGTGACCGATAAAGAACATTAATATCGTTGAGGGTACCTGGTAATCCGAAAAAATGTGTGCCATATCCAAAGATCATGTGATGCCACAGCCTCTAAGACAATTGTCGGCTTACCCGAACCACGTGTGTACTGCCCTCTCCAAGCAGTTGGGCAGTTTTTCCACTCCCAATGCATACAATCGATGCTTCCTATCATCCCAGGGAACCCGCGAACCTCGCTAACATCAAGTAATCGTTGAAGATCTTCTGCCGTAGGTCTTCTTAGATACTCATCTCCAAACAAATGTATTATCCCTTCGTTGAAATTTTTCCAGACATAAAAGTGCAGTACTTTCCGCAAGTTGGATATATTCGTCATTTGAATCTGCGGATTGACCATATGACAGCATTCGTATAGCTGAAGTACATTTTTGAAGTGCAGAAAGCCCATACCTTCCATGACCATTTCGTCTTTGCTCAAAGTATGAAACTTCATTACTGAGACGATCAACAATGCGAAGGAACAAAGGCTTGTTCATTCGAAAACGCCTCCTGGACATTTGAGGTGGGTATGTAGGATTGTCACTGAAATAGTCGTTCCATAGTTGGTTGTGTCCTTGTTCCCGATCTATTTCGATATAACGTCTCCTCGTCTTGGTCACTTGAACATCAACAATAGATTCGATGAAATCATCCACTTGTTGGTCCACCATTTCTTCAAAAATTTCATCTTCTTGATCACTTGATGAATAAGACATTATTTGAATATCCTACAATCCAAAAAAAAAAACATAAAATTTTAGGTTAAGACATAATTAAGGGTTATTAAGACTTATAATACTTTTTTAAAAAAATGAAGAATTACAAAACTTTTAACAAATTTGTAAAACCATTAAGAGTTATTAAAGTTTTAAAAAATTTAATAGTTAATTAAACTTCTTAAAAATTTAGACTTATTAAACTTTTAAGAAAAACATAAAATTTTAGGTTAAGACATAATTAAGAGTTATTAAGACTTATAAAACTTTTAAGAAAATGAAGAATTACAAAACTCTTAACAAATTTTGAACTTGTTTAAATTATCCTCATGTACATACCAACAAAATTGTACACTACACCCGTGAACCGTGAAACAAAGCTACCGGCTTGACACGTGCCATGAACCCGTCTCATGCAGGTTTAGCCGAGAGAAGCGGTTCAGCAAATAAAACTCATTTTCTTTTTTTCTTCTTAAAAAGGCACATGAACCCCATCGAGTGAACCCCCTATAAACCCTTAATGGACTTGCTCTAAGAGCAGCATTATCCCTAGAACCTTTAATGGGACTTTTAATCATTTTTAGTAATAAATGTGTGTTAAACATTTTATTAAAGAAATTTCTATTTTTTTGTCTTCTAATGCAAGTTTCTTATTTTGGAGTTTAAAAAAAATGAACATTGTTTTATATAAGATAAAATTTACTTATTATATAAAATATATTAATAAATAACATTTAAAAATAGATTTTAATATAAAACATAAAAACAAAGATTAGTAAAATAATCAAGAATAATTTGAATCCGAGTTCAGTTGTTGTCCTCATCACGTCCAAATTTACTTCATATATGTTCAACTAAATCAGCTTTCAGTAGTTCATGCATTTGTCTATCACAAATTCTAGTTCAAACACCCATCATATTGGCGATATTTGTAGGGATGACGTGAGATCCACATATGAACTTTCATTGTCTTCTCCTTGTTGGAACTCGGAAACATCAAATTGCATGTATCCATCTCATTCGTCTTTTAATATCATATTAAGGAATATGATACATGGTCTCATAATCTTCCCAATTTTTACTTAATCCCAAAGCTGGATTTTTACGATGGCAAAGCATGCTTGCAAGACTCCAAAAGAACGCTCGACATCTTTTCGGACAGTTTCTTGACGCTGAGTAAATAAATCTGCTTTCGGCCCTTGTGGTATTGAAATAGATTGGATAAAAACTGTCCATTTTGGATAAATACCATCGGTGAGAGAGTAAGCCAAATGATACTCTATTCCATTGACAAGCAGCATTTGTATATTTGCTGAAAATATTTCATTGGAATTACAAGCTGTGACAAAGATCATATAGTTTAAGAGAGAAGAATGAGAGCAATGTGATTATACACTTAAGCAAAGCTAAAGAGAGTAGGAAAATAGCTAACGAAAGCACACTAGATCCTTAGTTTTGAGGTCACAGTTTCGTATTTACGATCACGACTTCATCGAACACCTATTAATGTTTGTTGCATTTCTTATACCTTTTGAATTGGTTTTCTTGGCCTCCTTTCCTGAGTTCTTTAAAATATACATCTACACATTCAAAACCTGTAATATTTAAGTATCTACCTTTGACTGGTATGATTTTTTTTTCTTGAGAAAATTGACTGGTATGATTCTGATAATTAATACAAGAGATATATCGTATATGACCCTTTCTTTATGGGTTACTAGTGGTTGACAATTTGTGATCAATGGAAAATATTTTATATTGCTGAGCCATTGAATATTTGTGATCTATTTATCATGTTTTACTCTCTCATAGTCATGTATTCTCTTCTTACTTTCGAGTTTACAGGACATCGTAGGGAATTCTCTCGCCATATCCGTATTCTCCATATAGAAAGAGTATTGGGTACTGAAGACTCATATAAATAGGGTTCAAATCACTTATTCTCTGCAGTTTAGATGACTTATACCCAAGCACAATATCTTTACCAACCGATGCAGTTTCTGTTGCGAAATCATCTACTAACAGACAACAAATTTCTCCTGCTGGTGGTAGGTCATATTGTCTTCCTCGGTTCTTTGGATTAACTAAAGTGATACTGAATTCTACAGCATCACCAGACAAGAGACGACTCGTGCATGTCTGAAAGTCTTGGCCAGGTGATTATTTTCATCCATCATCTTGATTAACTCAGTTATCAAACTGTCATCAACCATTAACTCTGATGTACCCTTTATAGAACTCAAGAATCAAAAGAACTCAAAAACCACTTTCGTATTGCTTAGAAAAGTAACTCAAAAACTAAGCTCAATAACTCACACACCTCGTGATCATTAAACTGTAAACGACTCAGCTATATATAGCTAACAAGGGGCCTAACCCTATTAAGATAAACACCAAGTAAATATTCCTAAAACACTGAAGATAACTATNCAATAACTCACACACCTCGTGATCATTAAACTGTAAACGACTCAGCTATATATAGCTAACAAGGGGCCTAACCCTATTAAGATAAACACCAAGTAAATATTCCTAAAACACTGAAGATAACTATAAAACCCAACGATAAGGATAACTCCAAATATTAAGATAACTTCCAACTCAAGTTATCATCAAGCTTAGACTAACATTCTCCCCCTTAAGCTTGATCTCACCTTCAGTCACCACTTGCACTCCAATCAGTCTTCTCATTTCTGCAAACCGAACTCTGCTTAATGCCTTTGTCAATATATCAGCTCTTTGCTCAACTCCAGGAACATGATTTACTTCGACTAGACCATTCTCTACACACTCCCTTATGAAGTGAAACCTTCTGTGAATGTGTTTAGAACGACCATGAAACACAGGGTTCTTGGTAAGTTGAATTGTGGACTTGTTATCAACGCGTATGACCACTCTCTTGTTCTCCTTTTCCATGATCTCTTTCAGAAGTTCCTGCAACCATATAGCTTGTTTTGCTGCCTCTGTAGCTGCCATAAATTCTGCTTCACAAGACGATAATGCTACAATTTCTTGCTTTTGTGAGCACCATGTTATAGGACTATCATTAAGATAAAAGACATGCCCTGTTGTACTCTTGCCATCATCAACATCTGCATTGTGAGAACTGTCACTGAATCCCACTAACTCCATCCTTGTAGCTTCTGTAAACTTCAGACCAAGTGGAGTAGTACCACGTAAATAACGTAATACTTGTTTCAACGCTGTTCCATGAGACTCCTTTGGTTCCTGCATATACCTACTGAGCACACCTACGCTGTAAGAGAGGTCTGGTCTTGTGTGGAGTAGGTAGCGAAGGCATCCAATACTTCTCCTATACTCAGTTGCGTCTATACTCTTTTCCTGTGGTGATCTTGAGAGGCTAACATTGACGTCCATGGGTATATGAACACGATTACAATC